GCGGAAATTTGACTGCGCCACGAGATGGGACCAGACCAGATTTAATGCCCCCCAAAATGCTCGATTCATGCGGTTGGCAGACTTCCGCAATCGCTTTCGGCTGAGCCGGGTTTGGTCTAAACCGTTCGGATCGGACCTGGTCTGGACTGGCCTGGGCTTGGGGCAGCCCTCTTGTGTAAGGTGCCAAAATGTTTCGGGTCAAAAAGAAATTAGTTTCTGATTGGGACACTGCCACAACGCTGGGATTGTACTGAATGTGGGTTGGGTGGATAAGAGCAGCAGGCAAATACCCAGGGAAGACCACAGAACCGCATCAGAATGGATTGAGATGTAGCACATCAATAAGTTCATGCCATGTGGAGTATTTCCCCCGAATATGGCACTCTGCCAGACTCTGGCCACCCATGGCCAACCCGTGCTCTGCAGCGCCTGTTCATTATCCCCTTCCATGGCGAGTGCAAACCATGCACTTTGTAAATTAATAACTCACGCAAGTAAATTAATTTAAAATCATATTTATAGCATTTTAGTTAATTAAATGCGCAAAAATGTGCCCCATCCCACATAGTTCTTCCTCCCCGTTTGGTGGCTAGGTGAAAGTGTCAACTGCATGGGTGTGTGTGTGTGTGTGTGGTTACTCCTTCTGTTCTTGTTGTTGCCACTGCTGTTGTGTCTGTGGCACACACAGGCACACACACGTACACAGCTCTCGGTGGCAGCCGCCTGCTTGCCGCGACATTTATGAACTTTATGAAGTCTGCTCCATAAATCATCTCTCCCATGCTCGGGGGCCAGGGCTGGCATTTTGCTTAGGCGAATTTAATGAAAAAATGGATATGACATGGCCAAATGAAGCATTCTCGAACAGGGGATGCTCTATGCTCGCCATGTAATTATTCTTAAATGAAAAGAAAGGGGACAAAGGGGACAAATGGATGGGAAGATACCTTCAGATATGAACTATCGCAAATAATTCTCTTCCAAGGGGTACATCAGTTCGAGGGGCCTTTTATCCAGTGCTTCGCCATTTAGTGTGCCGCAAAAGTTCGTGCAGTGTATTGGGACAGGGCCGGGCCGCGCCTGTGGATTCCTCGCGTAAGTTGTCTGCACGAAAGCGAAAGATGAAATCATGCGGTCTGCAGAGTGCTTCCAAAGGTAGAACACGGATTTGGCCCTGGGTGTGGATAGGTGGATGGGTGGATAGGTGGATAGGTGGCTTGGCCGTGTTCTGAGAGTGTGAGCGGTTGCAGCATGTGTGCCACATTGCCACATGGCGCATTGCCGTATCGCCACGACTACCGCCACGACGACGACGACTGTTTGCCTCTTTGGCTCTTTGTTTATAGCTGGTGTTTTCCTTTTCGGCTATTTATATTTTATTTTTGAGATTTTTCTGGCAAGATGGTTTATTATTTTGCGCTTATTTCTAATTCTTTGGCCATCAACCTGGGTCTTATTTATTCCTGCTGAGATTTATGCCCAATATCAGAGCTGCAAGTTAATGTGGCGCGTTATGGCGCCACAAAGTTACAGTTTCGTTTGGCCCGGAGATTATGCAAAGTTATGCGTACCCAGCCAATCTCCCCCCACGGTCATGCCAATAAACTGCAGAGAGAGGAACCGCCACACACACACACACACGCATACATATAAAACAATTTGCCTACAAAAGAGCCTCCACCGCTGCCCTGCCTCGCCTCATTTCGGATCCAGCAATTTAAAATTGTTTATAAAACAGGGGGCCACATACACATACACATGAGCATAAAACTTGCATGAAAAGATGCTATGCTGAGGCTGGAGGTGGAGCTGGAGATGGAGCTGGGAGTGGTGGCCACAATAGCTCCCAGAGGTCGGCATTAAATTCTGCTGCTGGCCTATATAAGCCCGGCCAGGGTTGGCCCTAACTACACCATGGGGACAGCAATTGATGATAGTCTGAGGCCAGAGATATGTAGCCGGGGCCAAAGCCCAGCCGGGAGCGGATGCTGAGGCTGAGGCTGAAACTGAAGCTAAAGCCAAAGCGAATGCTCTGGGATATAAAAGGACTTAGTCGCATGTTAACGCAACGCCTACGCAAATCCATCCATAACAGCAACAGGAGCTAGACCTGGACCAGGAGCAGGACCAGGACCAGGAGTAACAGCAACCCCCGCCGCAATGCACACTGCATCTGCTTGAGGGCCTGGGGAGGTCTGGTAATGCGGCTGATGCCTCCCCGAAGTCAGCTTTTCCCCTCGATGCCCCGGCTCCCATTATGGAGTCATAAACGCACATGCAGCCAGGCCCAAAATTGGAAGAGCCCGAAGGGGGATGAGCCCCGGGCCACGAGCCTTAGCTCCATTTTCATCTGCTCCGACTTTGACTTGTGCCGCCTCCAGTTCTGGATTTTTTTAGCACATGTAAAAATGCTTGTTATCAAGAAGGAAACGAAAACATAAAAAAGAGCAGGGGAATCATAGAGAGGGGAGCACGAAACAAACAAAAAAAAAAAAAAAATTAAACAGCCAGAGATGTGGACAATTTTCGGGCGCAGCCCGAGGCTTAAACTGTTATTACCAGAAGGAGGCGGGACACAGCCTCGACCATTGGCAAGTGGGAAGCGGGAAGTGGGTGCGTCTGCTGTTTATGAGTTGTAAAGCCGTAGTCAGACAATAGCCAGCTCCTGCAACACATGAGAGCTAAGCCGGAGGCCATATTACGAGCCTGGTCTAGTTTGCCATTTTCAACAGAAAGATAAATCGGGTGGAGGCAGCATTGGCAACTCCAGCTTCAGCTGGATGTCAATGTTCTGTGGTGGCTTCTTATGCCTGGCTGCATTTTATATTTATCCTCTGGTGCGCCCCTCGTACTATGTGCCAGAATTCGTGCCACAGTTCAGAGAAGTTCAGCGTGTGGAAAGTCATTTGCTGAGGTGAGTTGTGGATCCTCAATTGCGACAATTTGCTTGGGCAAGGGAAGTGGCAAGTGCTACAAGAGGAGTGATGATGTGTACTTCCCAGCTGCAAAAGAGTAGAGTTCATTCGCTTCAATTTCTTCACATCACTTTCAGTGTTGAATTATCATTGCAGTTGGGCGAGAGAAACCCTGAAAGCTGGAAAAACGAGTATCAATGTGTCATCTAAAATGGTTAATTTAAGCTTTGAAATTTAATGTTTTTATGAAGAATTTAATTCCAGACTATTTCAGGCACGAATAACGTTTTCTGGCTACCTTTATTCTCGTCTTCAAGTGTCCCACATTCTGCATCTACAGTAGTCACAGTCAGGTATGTACATATGTATATCTGTTGTATCTGTATATCTGGAAGTAAGTTGAAACTCGCAGCCCCAGCCCTATTTGATTGGATGATAATGCCGTGGGGTGTTAAACTAATTGTATGGCTTGCTCCCTTGGTTGTACTGCCTGTCAGCTTGTTGGCCATCTTTCGATCTCAAATTTCGCTGCCTTCGAGTATTACAAAGGGCCACGCGTCAATTAGACCGAAGTGCATGTAAAATGTATGTGTTTAAAAGCCTGGCCAATATTTTCTTACTCTGCACTTTGGATTGTATCGGTGATTGTATCGCCAGAGCGGAGTCCGCGCCCAGGGTGGCAGCACGTGCCCAGGGCTTTTTGGACATACAATTCCGCCCGAGTTTAAAGCGCAACTTAAAGACTGGGACTGGAAGAGGGACTGGGAATGGGTCTGGCACTGCCAACTATTCGCTGGAAAGGAGGCAAAGGTTCGGTCCGGGCTTTGGCAGCACATTTCTGGCATACTTCACACAATCTACTGATGAAGTCAACTGGAAGACTCGCATTTCTTTGATGTTTCGACAGCAATTGCACACACACACACACACATACACACACACATACATACCGCACAAGCCCTGATACATCAAAATACCCCCGTAATACACACAAAGAGAAACGCACAGAAAGGATGCCGTTTGTATAGATGTCTTTGGCGCATTTCAAAGCACACAGCTTCAAAGCCCCCGAAAATGACCTTTGTGTGTGCGGCAGGAGCTGTGGCCAGCCATGAAATGGGCCACTAAATAGTAATTTACTAAATTAGTTTGTTCTTCTAATTAACGGCAAGCCGAGCCAAACCCAAGGCTGCGAATCAGAGCTCATTCCACTAATTCGACCTCAGCCCCACTGCTGCTGCTGCTGCTGCTGCACTGTTGCGGGCCATTAAAAATTTCGTAATTACTCTAAAAGGATTTCAATTAGGGTTTGAAATCGCATTAGACTAAATGAAAATGACTGCGCACCATCATAACATAAATAAATATAATATACAAATAATAATAATAATAATAATGCCGTTAATGGAAAAAAAATACACATTCCACACAATGTCATCAAAATGCAATTACTAAATATTCGAATGAAGTAATCTGTCCGCCTAGACTAACAGTCGTAGTCGACCTTTTTCCCAATTAAAATATGCACCAGTGTTAGCGAACAAATTAATCAAGATATTTTCATCACAAATGCAATTGAAGAGCTAAATTAATTTTGTGTGGCTTTTAACGGCCGCTCAAATGTGAATGTATTTGAAATTTAACTAAGCAAATGAATAATTTTTTAGCTGATAACTCCATTAATTAGCAGCTCGGGCCAGACCAAAAATCAAATGCTCTAAAAAATATTATTGATTGGTAGGAAATGTATTTGGTAGCTCTTTTCTTCTCATGAAAATACAGATTGAGCCTCAAATATTAGCATGCACAATTATAAACATGTGTACACACGAGCAATTTGTGTTTTTGTCTTAAATTCAAATCCATAAAAGTATTAGTAATGCAGATTTATGTAAAGCAATATTTTTCAATAATTATTCAAGAGCTAAAACGAAGAGGAGTCAACAGAACTCCCAGCTATGCAATTTGCACACGGTGTGTAAAATAGATAATTAGACTGATCCCGAGAATCAGACCTTTGTATTAGTTCCGGCCAATGACAAATTCGGAGAGTCACGCGAGCTGACAATAAAAATCTACCTATAAATATGGGCTGCTCGGCCGGAGCGGTAGACAATAGCAAAGTAAAGAACCAACCAGAATGAGGACTACGCTGGCGTTGACTCTGCTGCTCGGCTGCCTAACAGCGACCTTTGTGGTGAGTGGAACTGTGGCCAAAAGTGGATGTTGATGTGGCGACTGAGATTCTTCTACTTCAGAGAGCGACTGATGTGGAGACTGCTGAAAAAATGGTGAAAAAATGCGTGACCGATTTGGGGGTGACTGAGCAGGACCTTGCGGACCTTAAGTCAGGCAAGGTGAAGCCTGCAGACGCTAAGGACAGCCTGAAGTGTACCGCCCAGTGCGTGATGGTGGCAAGTGGATACATGGACGGCAGTGGAAAACTGCTGAAAGACAAGATCAAGAAGCAATACGCCGACCATCCCCAAATAGATGCGATTAAAAATGCCCTGGAGGTCTGTGGAGGCTTGAAGGGCGCCAATGCCTGCGACACCGCCTTCCAGATCGTCTACTGCGTCCAGACCCATGGCCATTCATTCCAGTAAGACACGAATCGAAACATCGAAACAGTCGTTAAATGAGAATCGTAGCAGTCAGTCGTCAGTCGGAATCAAGATCACATATGTATAGTCATTTTTTAACAAAATATTTGCTAAGACGAGGAATAATAAAGAACAAAGAAAAACTAATTTTACTCGTTTGAAGATGTGAATAATTATTTAGTAACTTTTACTGGAAGCAATCAAAATGACCATGGCGAGTGATCGATGCATCGATTCGCGTCGGATAATGTGGAACCAATAGCTTGACTCTGATGGTCACGTGAAGTGCAGCGCTTGCTATAAAATCGGATGGAAGGTTCACCAAGGTATTATTGCAGAACTGAAAACCCAAGCAGAATGTGGATTACGCTGGCATTGATTCTGCTGATTGGCAGCCCAACTGTGCGCGGGTTTGCAAGGAAATTTAATATATTCAATGACAATACATTCCTAAGCGTTCTTCAAAATTGCCTGACTGAGAACGACGCGCAGATGACAATATCTATGGCCTGGTTGACCTAGATAGGGAGAATCCGTCAAATGTATCGGAATCGGTCAAGTGTACCGCCCTGTGCTTTTACAAAGCAAACGGATTCAGCAATTCGAAGGGCAATATGGTCGACAAAGCTGTTCTCAAGGAATTTCACGCAGACATCCGAAAAAGAATGAACTTGATAAGGCTGTGGATGAATGTGTTAAGGACCGATATTCAGATCCCTGCGACAACGCCTATCAGACTTTTCACTGCCTAGCGCCTTATTATCCCATTGGCTCGCTGGAGAATTAAGGATTTCAGTTAGGATTTGAGATGGAATTAGACTAAATTAAAGTGTGTGCACCCCATTGTAACACATTATAATATATTATGAAAATAATAATATTAATGCTGATCTTCAAGCTATTAATGGGAATATTCCACACAACCTCATCGAAATGCAATTACTAAATATTTGAACTATGTAATCTGTCCACCTAGACGCCCAGCTAACTTTTCCCAATTAAAATATGCACCAGTGTGAGCGATCAAATTAATCAAGATATTTTCATCACAAATGCAATTGAAGAGCTAAATTAATTTTGTGTGGCTTTTAACGGCCGTTCAACTGAATGCATTCCAAATTTAACTAAGCAAATGAATCATTTTGGTAGCAGTTTTTGGTAGCAATGTATACATGTATGTACATATTATTAGCATTTGTTTAGTTTTTTCTAAAATTAAAATCCATAAAATTATTTTTAATGCAGATTTATGTAACGCAATATTCAAGCTACATAGATTCCTCGAGAAATTATAAAAGATTTATTCAACAGCTACAACGAAGAGGAGTCAAAAGAAATCCCAGCTATGCAATTTGCACACGGTGTGTAAAATAGATAATTAGACTGATCCCGAGAATCAGACCTCTGTATTAACTCCGGCCAATGACAAATTCGGAGAGTCACGCGAGCTGACAATAAAAATCTACCTATAAATATGGGCTGCTCGGCCGGAGCCGTAGACAATAGCAAAGTAAAGAACCAACCAGAATGAGGACTACGCTGGCGTTGACTCTGCTGCTCGGCTGCCTAACAGCGACCTTTGTGGTGAGTGGAACTGTGGCCAAAAGTGGATGTTGATGTTCCGACTGAGATTCTTCTACTTCAGAGAGCGACTGATGTGGAGACTGCTGAAAAAATGGTGAAAAAATGCGTGACCGATTTGGGGGTGACTGAGCAGGACCTTGCGGACCTTAAGTCAGGCAAGGTGAAGCCTGCAGACGCTAAGGACAGCCTGAAGTGTACCGCCCAGTGCGTCATGGTGGCAAGTGGATACATGGACGGCAGTGGAAAACTGCTGAAAGACAAGATCAAGAAGCAATACGCCGACCATCCCCAAATAGATGCGATTAAAAAGGCCCTGGAGGTCTGTGGAGGCTTGAAGGGCGCCAATGCCTGCGACACCGCTTTCCAGATGGTCTACTGCGTCCAGACCCATGGCCATTCATTCCAGTAGGTCACGATCCCGGACACGACCTGGAAGAATCGAAAGAAATGGCGGATATTCAGGTATTCAAACAGAAATCAGACAATATCGTAGAGTTTAAATTTATTTTGCCTATACTTTGGCAGTCTACTGCGATTGCATATAATCAATGAACATTTTATATTACTTATATATAGTCAATAGTTAACAAAATATTTACTAAAACGAGGAATAAAAAAGAAAAGAGAAAATCCTACTTTTACTCGTTTGAAGATGTGAATAATTATTCAGCAACTTTTACGAAAAGCAATCGAAAGCAATTTTAGGAATATGCGTAAGTCGGATGGATCATGGAAATTTGACCTTTGCGAGTGATCGGTGCATCGATTGGCGTCGAATAATGTGGAACCAATAGCTTGACTCTGATGGTCACGTGAAGTGCAGCGCTTGCTATAAAATCGGATGGACGGCTGACCGAGATATTACTTCAGAACTGAAGAACCAGCCAGAATGAGAACCACTGCGATGTTCATGGCTATGTTACTTGGCCGCCTCTCTATACCCGGGCTGATATGGGACAGGCGAGCGAATTATACTAAAACTGCACTCGAGAGGGTTATTCAAATCTGCATGACTGAGAACGGGGTGGCGGACATGGATCTAAATGACCTGTTTCGCCTAGATAGGCCGAGTCTGCCAAAGACCAGACAATCGATCAAGTGTGCCGCCAAGTGCTTTTTCATGGCAAACGGAATAATCGATTCGACGGGAAATATAGTGGAAAAGGATCATTTGAACTTGTTTCACGCGGACAGCCCCGTCAAGGATAATCTCAATGAGGCTGTGGATAAATGTACTAAGAACCGAAACTCAGATCCCTGCGACAACGCCTACCAGGCCTTTCAATGCTGGTATTCTGCTTACACCAGATCGGTTCTTTCGGACGACGATGTGAACTCAAGCGAGTCAGTCAATGTGACTAATATATAAAAGCATAAATTACAGTAAGCAACAGAGCTGTCATTGAGGAACTGCTGGGTCGTAGCAGATTTAAATTTATGCTTGAAATCGCATTAGACTAAATGAAAATGTCGAGCCTATGAATAATGTGGAATTTTTAAATAATTTTAAATATTTTTTTTGTGTATAAAAAAGCCGTCATTCTGACATTCCCGAATGAACTATTCGATGATATATGTATGTATAGGCATCTCCGATTTGTGTAATACTATTTTCTCCCATTACGCTTTCCCAGAATCTGTGGTCGCTTTTTTTGCAAAATATTCCAGCAAATATCTGCAAAATGCCAGCAATTTAATTACTTCGCAGCGCCTTGGAAAAGGGCAGTGAAAGAGCACTCATAAAATCACAGCCGCGGGCAACAATTTCAATCGAATTGTCGGGGTCGGGACGACACTCTTTGCTTTTCCCCAGCTCCAGCTAAAGGTCCAGCTCCGGGCCCTGCCTCAGCTCCCCCAGATGCTGCTGATGTTCCTGCACCATTGTTGTTTTTGTTATCGAAGACAAGCCAAGTTTTCCTATAAATAGACGGCATTTTTGGGGGCATGTTATATGTATGTCCATATTGTTATTTCGAGGAATTTTTAATTTCTTCATTGTGAAAATATTTATTGAAACCGAGAAACGCCAAAGGCGCAGCCCGCCGTAAAAAGTTGACGGAGTACGAGCCAAACAAGAAAAGGGCAAAGAAAAACAGAACCCCCAAAATTGCGAAACTCGTGGAAGAGACGACCCCATATCAGACCATCCGATAATTTGAAGTAAGAGCAGACTTTAAGTTGCTATGGGAGTACCACGACGCCGACTCCAACTCCAACTCCAACTGCGACTCCGAGTCCATTTCCTGGCCACTTCGTCCTTTTGGCATCTCCGGTAATAGCCACTGAAACCTGGGCAAACAAATTGAATGAAATCAACTCGTTAAAAAGTAAATAACTCTGATGAATGGCTGAAATGCCCGTACACAAAAAGCAAACTGAACTTTCCGCCAGGTGGCCCCAGGTAGGATAGGCCAGTCCGGGATAGGGTTGCCCAGGAGCCCTGCCCACCGGTGGGCCAGTACCGGCTCTTCGTTTCGTTCTATGCGCCGTTCTGCCAGTCAATTGAAAATGAAATACAAATAAAAATGCAAACAACGACCCCAACGCATTGGCCACATACAAATGTTGGCTAAGCACGCGGGGGTCCTACCGGCTCCAGGGTATGCTACTGTCGACGTCTGGACAGACAGTCAGGGCAGGCCTGGCCAAGGAAATTAGTAGACAGCCATTCCCCTGTCCTCTTTCCCCATCTGGCCGGAGGTCAAGTCGGGCTGCTGCACAAAAGGAGCTGAAATGTAGAAAAAGCAAAGGGGAGTGTAAGGGGCTGTAAGCAGCCGCCAGCCGCCAGCCGCCTGGCGTCTAGAAGCCAGCAAGGCAGGACAGTCGGCTGGCTACCAACTGCAGAAACGAAGTTTTCCGGCAGAATCTTTTTCCTGTTCCGCATTCATCGATGAACTTTCAATAACAGAACTTTACTCTGCCGCTTTTTTATGGCCTCGAGGCATTCCGTTTTCAAGGATATGACATTGAATTGCACTGGTTGCCAGCCCAAGTGCACCAAAGTTGGTGGCTTCGGCAGGGCCCGCACACTTCTGGCTGAAAGTTACTTTTGACAGGGAAAAGAGCTCTCGAGAACCGTTGAAAACCCATCTGAATGGGGCAGATGTAGAAACTATTATTGTGAGATTGAACTGAAATTCGTTTTTGTTTTTTTTTTTCCATTTTCAGATGTCTCGACTGCTCTGACTGCCATCCATGGAACTGCACCACCCAGCACAGTTTTCCCCCTATGTATGTATATGCATTTAGCACATTATAGTTTTCCATATTCACACCCAAAGTCATAAACTTAATTACATTTCCATAGCTTTTGGCAAGCACAATCGCTGTCAAGCACGGAGCCTGGCAACAAGATTTTCCCTGCTGTTGGCTGCACCTGCTCCAAACAAACCGCAGTTTATGAAAACCAAAAGCCAAGTAAACTGATGCCCATGCGTTGCTGCCAATGGCAAAAACAGGAAATGTGTATAAGGCAAAACCAAAGCCAAACCCAAACCCAAACCAAACCCCCAACCATGGCAGCGACTATAAGGAAACGCCACCCAACACAACCCAACCCAACTCAATCCAATCCCCGATCAGCATCAGCATCAGCGTCAACCCAACAGCAAGCCCAACTCCACGCAAACGAAGTCAAAACCCATTCAACAACAGTTTCGCATAATTGTAAATTCAAGTGGAAATGAATGAATTTATGCTGAACTCGACAGAAAATACCAGCAGGCGATTGTTGCTGTTGCCATTGCCATTGCTGTTGCTGTTGGTACGGTCCCAGAGCAGGTAACAGGTAACAGGCAACAGCGAAGAAGGTAACGGACGCTGATGGCAATGACGATGACGATGGTGGCAATGCTAACGGTTACGTTCCCGAATGGCGCACAAACAATATGGCGCCACAGTCAGGGTCGGAATGGCAGCTATAGTGGGTGGCGCAGTTTGTGGGGGGTGGGATATGGAGCTGCCACGGAATCACGTTGCTTGCATATTTTCATTCATTCATTTCAACGTCAACGTCTGCCGGGTACGGGGACGGGGACAATACGAGTGGAGTTATGGAATGCATAACGGGCTGTTCTACTCCCCTTCTGTGCTCTTACTTCTCCATCTGTATCTGTATCTGTGAACTCCAACAGCATTTGAATGCGCTCACTTCTGGCTGTAGAAGAAGGGTAAGGCTCTTCCTCCTTCCTTCAAGTATTTACGCCTTTATTTATTTAACATTTCAATTGCATATTTTCGCACAAAAGCGCGTGCCAAAGCGAAAGGATGAGCCAAAAGAGAGAGAGCCCCCGACAATGGCAATGCCCAGCAACCTCAAAGGGATGCATGTGGATGATTATGATGTTATGTTGAGCTCTCAAAGCAGCCACAAATTGCTGGAAGTTCTGCACGTGACCCATGCTAAATGTCCACAGCCAAAAGCCATTGCACCCGATCAAAAATGCAGCTAAACGGCTTGGATGATAGAACAGGGATGAAGAACAAGTTCTACAACTTGATTTGGATAAATAAGGATTTTAAGGTAAGGATTTTCTACACATATGTATGTATGTATGTATGTATGGTTGGAATACTCTCTATGGAATCGGAAATGCTTTCTTCTCTGCACTTTTCCTTTAGCTAGCTCATGAAAATCATCATATTTGATATGGTCGCCGCCCTCCGAGGTGGTTCTTTGTATTTTTGCCAGAGATTCGTAGATGCAAACGACAGATTGATGGGCATGCCAAACAACATATCCTGTTGATTTAGTCTAGAGGAACACTTTCATTTTTCTTAGAGCCAACATCCCCCTACCTGTTCCCCCATCATCGACGCTAACATTGTTGTAACTGGCATGAGGTTGTTTCCATAAGGCAGCCCGAAAGTATGCAGCACGAGAGTGGCATTCCCTTGGACTGTTCCAGGCAGGGAGCCTGTCGATGACATCGATTGTTATTGTGTGTGTGTGGGGGGTTGGGGGTGGGGGCCAAACAATGGCAAACATGGCCAAATACATTTGCCTACGGGGCACGGGGAATGGGTGCTTGTCACTGCTGAAATAGTCGATGCGGGGACGATGAGATGAAGCCAAGATTGATGGTTGCCTCCTAAATGATACCTGATTGAGTGTGTGAGTGCCGAGTGTTTGCCTTGGCATATTCAATATTGTCACGGCCCTGCCTCAAACCCAAAAAAAAACCAGACCCTGGCCATACCTCTTAAGTGTCATTTTGTGTTCTCGACACGCATTTTATGGCAGACTCGAAAAACTTTTTGATGCCCCAGACACGCGCCCAAGTATGTGGCGCCTCCGCCTCCGACCCATCCACATCCACTGGATCTCCGAGATGCTTTTGACATTGAGTGAGATAAATGGAGACAAGTTTGTAGGCCAATTTTCGAAGCAAAGCCACTAAGAGACCGGCGCCACACACGCGCTAACCAAGCTCCAATTCCCCATCTTCCCAGCTCCAGAGTTTAGGCCCACCTCGTTTGCGCCACGATCGGCATCAATTGGGCACACAATTAGCTCCTCGGGGCGCCAACTAAGATGAGCGGAGATGCAATTTCGCTCCGACCTTCATCGGGTGCTGCGCTGCAGCCCATTTCACAGTTGACTGGAGCTGAAGCTGGAGTTGCAGTGCAGTCGCCCCTAACGTCTTCCCTGCTGGGCCTGACTTTGGCTTGGAGCGAGGCGAATTTGCGCCATCAATGGGGAATTACTTGGAGAATTACATGCTTCATACTGACTTTGCCGGCCGTCTGCAGTCTCGTTCTTCAGCTGCCCAGGAAGATGCTAGATGAGAGAGGCTTGGCCAAGTTGTGCCCAGAGTCGACCAGATGTCGGCATTTGAGTTGAGGAGCTTCGTAGCTAGCTGCCGCACCGCCAATCGCAGTACTTGACTCAATTATCGATAAATGCCAAGCTGGCCTTTGGCCACTTAACGCTTGTTACAGAAGCTCCGCCCAGGGTGTTGATTCGGAAAGTTATTTAAAGATTGCAAAAACCAGTAACATTTTATTCCGCATTCCATGCTGACAATAACGTCAAGATGTGAAATAAAATAAATATTTAAAATTAGAAACTAGCTCTGCCTTGGTAGAAAATTATAGGATTCCGGAAGAGGCCTTACGAACAACTCGCCCTTAAGCAGGAAACTTCAAGTCACGTGGCCCTGCCATCCGCCAAGCGGTTCCCTTAACCTCAAGTAATCCAGCTGCTGGGCAAAAACCAGTTGTTGCCTTTATACTCCGTTCTAGCCACAATTTATGCCACACAGCCCTTCAAGCAGGACACGCAACCCATCCCCTGCCTGCCAGTCCAGCCCAGTCCAGCCCGACTCTGCTGTGAACCCTTTGGCGCACTGGAATAACCAGGAAGAAAAGAACCTGGAGTGGAAAACTGCATTCATCTCTGGTCCACACAGAACTGGGAATATTCGCTACAAACAAACAGAGGTTGCCATGCCTCCCGGGACTAGGAATGGTAAATAGAATGCGATTCGAAGCGGGAAAGGGAAAGGTAATGGGAAAGGGAACGTGATAGGGATAGGGATACTTGGTGAACACTTTGCGCCACGACTACTTTTTACTTTTCTTTAACATTATTTTGCACTTTTCAATTAAAAAAGTGTGCACCCCACGCAGCACCCGGGCAGCCGCCACGGCAAAGGGCAAAAGTAACCCCAAAAGCGGAAAAAAATATGCTCACAGAGAGGGAGGGAGAGCGAGAGAGAGAGAGAGAGAGAAGGGTGTGAGGGTAGGGTAGCTGCCATAATTATAATTTCTTAATGCAAATAAAAGCTCGCTGTGCTGATTCTCCCTTCTGTAGAATGAACCACAATTCAAGCCGTGTGGAGTATTTCTTGGTCGCCTCGAGTTTCTTCTCTACACCGAGAGTGGGGCTGGAGGACTTCTTAAGATTATGTGCAGCGCTCAGAGTTAAATCTTTAAAATCTTTTAAACCAAAATACAAAATTTATCGGATAATTGTACAGTCATTCTTGCAGTGTAAGCAGTGGCCTGCTTATCGCAGACACAGTAAAGAGAGAGTAGAGTATACGAATTTTTTGTTCTTGCGCATTGGTAGAGAATACGCGGAAAATGGGTGAAACGGCAATCTGGTCCTCTTTCGTTTCTGTTCTGGATTCGTTGCTGTTGACCATTGTGGCCATTGGTGAGCCAACAAACATGCATAGTTAATGAGTGAAATGTAAAGCCGTATAACCACACATACACGCCCCATCCCCTGCCCACTCCCCACTCCCATTCATTCTTGGGAATGCCATTCATACTCGTACATACATATTTAAGGGCTTGGCTTTTCAGCGCTATGCGCAATGGGCTTACATGGCGTATAATTAATATTAAATGTTATACTTATAAATTAAATAAAGTTCTGACGCTGGAGCTGGCGCTGGCGCTGGCTCTCGTGCTTTAGTGGCCGCTTTCCGAGCCGCACGATTGATGACTTTGGCCGTCAAGCTTATTGCCACCGACACGTTCAAGCACCCCATATGTACACCCATACATACATATATGTACTATGTACTATAAGGAGTATGTACACGCTTTATATGTTGTATATATGTATGCTCTAGATGCTACCCTAGTTGTAAATGTATGTTGGCCAAGTTTAACTTGAGCCAGAGCCCGAGCCCGAGCACGACTGCTACTTGCGCCACTTCCGCTGTGCGGAAAAATGCTTTTGATTTGATTTTCACCAAATGTCAACTTGACGTCAAGTCGGAGACGGTGGCGGACGCAGACAGTGTCGCCGCCTTTGTTGTGCCGGTTCTACAGCATGATTTATTGTTTTCATGAAATTGCGTGTAAACAATTTAGTGGCTGGTTGGCGCCCAACACCCAAGACACCCAAGGTCCCGTCCACCCGCTCTCTCTCTCTTCCACAGCCGCCTTTAAGTTGATGAACTTTTGAAACACTTGATTTAAGGTTAAGTGTAGCGATATTTCATTGCTGTAACGAGACCCACAGCCAGACATACATAGCTGTTAGTTTGCAGGATAATATTGTGATGAGATTTGAGCGAAGGATTTCCACTTTTTGGTTCCTCCTTCGGCTCATGCTTATGTTGGAGAAATATAAATTAAAAATAATGTTTTCTATTGGTATTTTTCGATTGGTAATTCCGCTGAAGTAAGGCAGACAATTGCAGTAAGCAGTGCACAAACTCATGAGTGGAATGAGTATCCCGCATCCCTCTTAAAACTGAATACTACAGGCGGCGCAGCGCATGCAATTTCGACTACCAATAAAGATGCCATAACAATAAGTAAAGCGAGCTAATATCCGATTACTGTGAAGTCCTGGGGGAAGCACTGTAAACTGCAAACTGCAAATGTAGCGTGCCAGGCGACTCTTGCCAACGCACTTGTACTGTGTCGTACGAGTGTGTGGCAAGCATGAAACAAATGCATAAGTAAATACCAGAAACGAGTGACTTTCAATATCCTTGCAGGCTTATTGCCCATAGCGAATTTCACGCCACGCCAACAGATAGACAGATGAGGATGAGGATGCGGAGCAACAGAGAGGGCACAAATGGGAATGCGAATGCATTTACACATTTGCAAACACAAATACGAGCACAAACAGACAGAAACTGAACTGAACCGAACAGACAGTTGCAAAACATGAACCATACAAATATGCGTACCCGTACCCTTCGCTCTTTGCCGGAGGCACTCGAAGCATTTGGCGCAGAGAGCGTCTGAAGCATTTTCTGATGTGGGATCCGATTGGGTGGCTGGACCTGGACTGGGACTGGGACTGGGATTGGTAACAGAGCCAGCCAGCCAGCCATGTCTGAGTGCGTTTCCTTCAACGCATTTACGTTTATTGCATTTGTAAATTATTCACACTAGGATATTAAATGCAAATTGTAAAATAGACGGCAATCGAGCGTGCGAGAGAACCTCACAGATACAATATCCGTTGGATACAGCCATGCATCAGCCATGGTGAATGAGTACTAAACTTAACTCCTGTAATGGTGCCACTGAACCGTAGCTAGATTCTAGTTCTTCGACTTTGGACTGATAATTCGCTTGACAGAGTCCTGGCAACCTTGGCAACTTGGCCATACAAATATTGTTCCAACGAACTGAGCTCGTAATCAGGTGTGCAAAAATTAAAAATTCCTTTTATGACAGCCCGTACCCCCCCACCATTTATTCCGTTTTGCTTTCCCTACTAGACAGATAGAAACAGCTCGGAACATGTGCTGAAAAGTTTTCAGTCCCCAGCAAATTTCGTTCACACGTAACTCGGTTTGGCCAAACACTTTTGACATCGGTGCTCTGGACAAAGTTGGTTGCCAAAGGTAGCCAAAGGTAGCTGGGTGCCTGGGAGCGTAACATGCGAATCAAATTCAAAGTTGGGAGCAATATTGGTGGGTCAAGGGCTGGGGAGCAAAAAGGAACAGTCGCAACCAGTCGAAGAACCTGGGCCACATCGTCTATGCAGAACCGCGTCACCTGTCTGACAATTATTTGACAATTATTTACACTTACGAGTGTAAATGGCACAAAGGGGTCCGATAAGCTCCAACTGCCATCCAGTTCGTATAAAAAGATGGCACTGTGCCGTTTTTCAATCCAGTCATAATGTTCAGAGTTAAGGAGCTGCTGCTGTCGCGCGAGATCTTCGAAACGCCCATCCTGCGCCTCCATCTGCGCTGCTTTCGCTTCTACGGCTATTTGTCGTCCAAGTACCAGCGCAGGCCCTGGCTGTCCCAGTTGCGCTGCATCCTTTTCACGGCCTCCATCTGGGTGAGCTGTGTCCTGATGCTGGCACGCGTCTTTCAAGGCTACGAAAGACTCAACGATGGAGCGACGACCTGCGCCACCGCCTTCCAGTACGTAGCCGTGTCTATTGCCACACTAAACGCCGTCGTGCAACGGAAGCGTGAGTGATATTTATGCAGTTTGTATATACTTTGCTGAGCATTTGTCAATTGGTCTTACCTTCAGGGGTTGTTTCTATGTTGCGTGAGGTCCATGCGGATATGCAAAGTCTGTTGCTCGAGGCGGACGATCAGGAACTGGAACTTGTGTTGTCTACACAGAAATACACTCGGAATTTCACTGTAATTCTGTGGGCTTCTTCGATAGTAGCCGGGCTTATGGCCTATTCCGACTGCCTCTATCGGACACTCTTCATGCCGCAGACCGTCTTTAACATGCCAGCCGTGCGTGCTGGGGAGGAGCAGCCCATTCTTCTTTTCAAGCTATTTCCGTTTGGCGAGCTGTACGACAACTTTCTGATCGGCTTTCTGGGACCCTGGTATGCCCTAGGGCTGGGCATCACAACTATTCCACTGTGGCACACCTTCATCACTTGCCTCATGAAGTATGTGCACCTAAAGCTGCAGATACTCAACAAGCGGGTGGCGGGGATGGATGTGAGTGCTCCATCACCTCTTCAGTGCACCTGTCAGTGCTCCATTCCCGATTCTCCATTGCAGATCACGCGCCTCAATCCGTTCTTAGACCCGGATCGCCTGACACCCACTCAGCTGGCCCGCTGGCAAATGCGGCTCATCAAGAAGTTCGTTAAGGAGCATCTGAAGATCCGTAGGTTCGTCAAGGAGCTGGAGCAGCTTATCTGTGTGCCCGTCATGGCCGACTTCATCATCTTCTCCATTCTCATATGCTTTCTATTTTTTGCCTTGAGTGTTGGGGTAAGTGTGAAAGTATGGAAGTATTAGGGTTATTCGAACCAATTTGAAACACTTTATGGTCTCTCAGACCCCTAGCAAAATGGACTCCTTTTTTATGTTCATCTATATATTTGTCATGGCATCGATTCTCTGGATCTACCATTGGCATGCTACACTTATTTTTGAATGCGTAAGTTCATCTAATACATCGCTGATATCTCAAATATTGTAACTTTATTCAATCCAGCACCAGGAATTGCCCTTTGCCTATTACTCAACCCCGTGGTACGAGTACGAGCGTCCCGTTCAACGAACGCTTCTCATTATGATAGTCCACGCCCAGAGGCCGTTGCGAATGCGTGCCCTGATGGTCGAGTTGGGTATAGGCACCTTCATAGACGTAAGGAACCGTATTGGTCTTCAGTATGGAGATACGAGTATTTCTATATAGCTCTTTGCAGATTGTACGAGGGGCCTACAGCTACTTTAACCTCTTGAGTCAGATATATTAGACCAAAAGCCATTCCCACGGGCTGGACCCCTATAAAAGGGGTATATTTTAATCGTACATAAATATATATGCACTGTTGCTTATCTACTCTTATGTTAAATCATATACCCCTAAATATTTAAAGCTTGAATTATCAAATGGAAGCAAAGCAAAGAAAATGTGCCTCTCCTTTAAATAAAATTGATCTTACTCTACAACTCTCCAATGCGATTTCTTCCAGAGATTTTTTCAACAACTCAACCTGTTCTTATTGTTTATTCCAGCTCAACGAATTGTCCTTTGCCAGGTATGAATACCAGCTTTCTATGAGACGAACGATTCTCTGCATGATGCTGCACGCCCAGAGGCTGATGATCGATCTGGATCTGAGGACCCTTATAGACGTAGGGATCCATATTAGTTGTCAGCATTTCTATATCTCTCTTTTTGCAGATTATACTAGGGGCCTACAGCTACTTCAACCTTCTGCGTGGGTTGTAGTGGATACAGACACCAATCCTTCTCCTTGCGTCTAATCAAAATGCCGTTGCGGTTGTCAACTCGTTTGGCTAACATGACAGCCAACAAGCCATGCAATTCATTTCGCCTACCCACAAAAAGCAACTGAAGACGAACAGGGACAATGGCGTTGGATTGAGCGTGGAAAGGCGGAGGAGGAGGAGGAGGCTATGCTAAACCATTTTACAGCGCATATAGAACCCCAAAAAGCCAATGCAAGGAACAGGCGACATCATTTATCACTTGTAGAAAACGTCGCACGTCAAGTCGCACTGAATGTGTTTTGTTATATTGTCTTATTCAATGGATATAAACGATTTTTGCACTTCTCAACCAAATATACAAACCAACCCACCCACCCACACGATTACACTGCGCTAACGCTACCCGCTACCACTACCCCTGCCACTGTTTCTAATTGTCTTGGGGGATTTCAGACACAAGAAATTTATGCGTCTGCTATGGCAAACGGTCAGATACGTGAATCCACCACCGGCACGGCACGGCACCACCCCTTACCCCCCTACCACCCACAAAACAAACTAGCCACACAAACCGAATTGTTGTCCCCATGGGTGTATTTTTTAATATTATTAAGAGTATAGACACAAAATAAAAAACAGTAGAAACACAAACACTCAGAACTCAAAACAAAAACCAAAAAAAGACACGCATATTGCTGCGGTTGCTGTCTTGTGTATTGTGTGCCGTGGGTTGCGTTCCCTGGGATTACACAAAGTGGCTAAATGGCTGATAAAGGCGCGCGACGAACCTCGAACCTAATACTAATGAGTATTAATGGCGGGGTTGCTGCCCGAAAGCTCAAGGTGGAGAGAAGCAAGGGTGACAGATAGTTGGGTAAGAGCGTGAAAAGGGTTGTTTACTCACCCCGTCGCAGATATATGGACGGGAACCCCTTGTAGATCATCGGATTTATCTATATTTATATCGTACATATCTGTCGAGGCTGGGTGGAGTGGCAAGAAGAGTTGGTGAAAGGGTTGCCTGACTCTTCCCTCGATCGTAATCATCCGCCAGGGTGCGGATCCCTCGCCAACACTAAAGAATGCATACGAAAGTGAAGTAAACATTTTTTTAAATTTTTTGAAGAATCCGCAGATCGTATCTGTGTCTGTCAGTTGGTTGCTTGCTCGCCGCTCAGCACAAAACTATTTGTAGACCATGAGCGATATTTTTGGATCACATATCTAGACCACAATTTAAAATAGAACATGGTGAAAACAGAAAAAAAGAACGGAAACCACATGGACCATGGCCTGGCGAATTGCTGGCATCTGTTGCCGGTATTTTTAGCAATATTGGCAAATTTTTTATGGTTTTCGGTGCGCACGTTTGTTGTTGATTATTTACGACATTACATACATAATGCAAGCGTAATGGATGCGAATGTTCATTAAACACAATGAATGTCGTGCACTCAGTGCCAACCCTGGCTCGTTCGAGACCAGAACCCTTGAGGGAATGCGTTGTACGGTTGGATATGGTATGGTTGGTGTGGTGTGGTATGGCATGGGCATGTTAAGTGTATGAGGAGCCACCCTCTTTGAGTCTTGCAGTTTTGCGAAAAAATTAAAATTTGCCGCACACATGTAATGAATATTTACAATACATTTTTGCTCTACCGACACAAAGGAAATGAATTCAAAGGGAATGTGATTCCCGGAACGGGGCGCTACAAAAGAAATATCCCTTTAAGGAAATGAACCTGCTCGCTCCTCAAGGGGTAGTCCTGGAGGTGAAGCCACAAAATTCTCGTATATTTCGATTATGTGTAGTCGGAAGGGATTCTCATATCTGTACAATATAAATTGACTTCTGTTCCAGGGGCGGTAAGCGGTAAAGGAGGCAAATGCGGGCCGACAATCCAATCAAATCTGATTAAAATATTTTTCAATTTAAAATATTAAAGATATTTCGAAGACATTAATTCTGAACGCAAGGAAGATGGAAGCCAAGGGTAGCTGTGAAGTACATTGTTTGTTTAGTAACTGTACTTTTTATTGCAATTCCTAACTAGAGGGCGTGGCTATATCTTAACTCTTTTAATACCAATCTGGCTTTAAGAAAAACAAAAACAAAATCAAGGAAGTGCACTAAATGGGCCTCTGGTCCCCATTTTTAGCCACTTAAGTGGTTTGTCATTAAACATTTATGCCACAGTAAACGCGACAAACGCTCCTCGACTTGGCCAGCTGTTAGAGGATGGGGATCTAGAATAGGATGGTTATTAAAATTAATTAGCGCACGGCGATTTGTTGCCCGGCGCCATTAAGCGAAATGAAGTTGTAGTTAAATTCAGAATGGATTGAATTAATCATAAGCAACGGACCCCATCTCACCCATCTGCTACTCGGGCCTGGCCAAAAGGACAAACATCAGCAGAGCCAATTTTGTTTGTGGACAAACGGACTGCAGTTGTCACCAGAGTGGTGGTGTGGAGGGAATGGAGTTGCAGTCACGGCCCCGCCCTGGCTATAATACATATTTAAATGCAACTGATTAATCATGAATAAAGTTGTTGTGTGTTCACAGTTGATGTTGTTGCCGGTCGGTCACGTGACTGAAAACAATTTGACTTCAAACACATTAACAGTTACGGTCTGGCCAGGACAGGGTAGAGTGGCGCAAGCCAAATACGGGCCCTGCACGCAGAGGGTTTGTCACCAGAGGCAGCAGCAGCAGCAGCAACAACAACTTAACTTGGCTAACTAAAACTTTTCATGCATTGCCGTTGACAGTGCAATAAACATGCCAAAACAAATGCAACAAAGCGTCAACTGACCCACCAAGAGCACGCCCATCCTGTCCGGGTCCCACTCCCTGCCTCACATGCCATCTTAAGGGTTGGATCGGCGCTTCAGCTTTTAAAAAAGTCAAATATTTTGTCGTAGGGGGCAACATGGAGTTCTCGAATAGTTACCAGCCTTGTTTCCAAGAATTTGGAATGGATACGAAATGACTCGACTGATGTATGAAGCTGGCACTTACATTGGAATTTTTACGAGTACAAAGTTTAATTCGGCTGAATTGAAATGGCATCAAAATAAAGAAAATAATCCCCCATCTTATCGTTTAAATAATTTCCTTAACAATAATACCATATATTTGACAAACAGTTAATACAGAAATGTATGCAATTAAACCTTAAATTGCAAACCTTTTCCCATTAATTAATTAACTTAACTTCAAGTTGCTCTTCCAGTGCCCAATCCAGGCATTTTATTTATGTACATATGCACTTCAGTTTTTATAGATAGTGTCCTGACGGAAAATAGATCGTACCGCCCTTTTGTAATTTCGTTTTTTCACAAAATTTTTGTTTGTTTTTGCATTGGTCCCTTTTGGATGCGCTTTTTAATTTAATTTTCGTAGGCCGCAGTGCACTTCAAACCGCTTAAACAAGCACAGACACGCACGGGAATATCGGGTTCCCAGCACCCACACCCACACACACACACCCACACCCACACCACACACGGCTTCGGCTTACAAAAGCACAGTCGAGAGTAGTCGAGAGAGAGAGGGCAAGCCGGAAAAGCGAGCACTACCCAAACCACGGTGAGGCGCCCGCTTTCATGCGCTTCGTTTAGCAAAGTGGATGTTAAGTGTAATGCGATTTTTATGTAAATTTTTGGCAAAAAAAAAAAAAGAAATGGCCCGAAATACACAGACTGAATGAGAGCCAACGGTTTGATGATTTCGTTGCCATGGTCACGGCCAGCTTCCAGCCAGACAGCACAGCGCAACAAATGACTGACTGGATGGGCGTTGGTGCGGTCGTCACATGAACACACCACGCTACCCAAAAACCCCCACCCTGCAGAGTCTACGATAGCCCCCGCTCGGTACAGACAAGTGGCAATATCCATATGACGGAAAAGGTACGATTTTGGAATTCTGAAAAGCAGCAATTGCTTGTGTTCATCATCATACATCAGTTAGGATGTTTTTTTTTCAAATTTATTAATCAGAAGGTGTCATTAGTTAAAGACCATCAGTTCAACCGACAACTCTAGGCAGGAGCAACCCCGTCAGAATCGTGGTAATAAAAAATAATCACTCAAGAGTCATAATTTTTTAACATCAACTGGCCTTTTAGTATTTGGGTAGAACGTCAGTCTACCACTACTAATGACAATCGTTTCGTCGCAAACAGCTCTCTGTAAGCGAGCTGCACGATAGAACTGATTGGGAATTACAAGCACAAAAGATGTGGGAAAAAATGTGAGCGCCTAAACACTGATAATGGCAAGACGACTGTTCGTAGAATGTTCGAACTTCGAACAGAACAGAAACGAGTTCAGTATAGAAAACCAAAAAATATATATATTTCCCATACCGGGAATCGAACCCGGGCCTTCTGGGTGAAAGCCAGATATCCTAGCCACTAGACCATATGGGATACAATATTACTTGGTCCAAAAGTACATTTTGTTAGCAAAGATTATGAATTTTTGTATTTTTAGCCACTCATTGATAACAGAAATTAGAAGTGTTTCAATATTATTATCTAAATTTATTGAAAGGTAACCTATTTAAATAAGCAAAAG